CTCCAGCCCGGGGGGCCCCCGCAGCCACCCCCCCGGGTCCCAAAGCCCCTTTCCCCCCTCCCTGCACCGCCGCCTCCAGCCAGGCCCGACTCCGGTGAGCTCACGCGTGACGGCAACAGCCCGGAGACCAAAATGGTCCAAAATGGCTCAGGAGCGCGGCAGGCAAGGCCTCTTGGTACCCCGGTCCCCGTCCGATGGCCCCGGGGGGGGCACTGGTCACCCACAGCCCCTCACGCCAGGGCCCAGCTCCAGAGCACCTGTGAGAAACGTCCCCAGAGCGAGCTGCCTGCCCAGGCGGGGGTACGGGACTTTGTTCTCTCCCACTGTTGACAAATAGGAGAAGTAACCTTGAAACCGGTCCCAACTCTGTCCCCTGCAGACTTTGATCGGGAGGAAAGAGGTGATAGGGACCGTGCCAGCCTCCCGCGCCCAGGTGACACACCTGGAGCTGCTCGGAGACACGACTGAATTTGTCCCCCTTTTGCCTCCCCCTGCTCCAGCCCAAACCCGCCTTCACGGGGTGGGTGAGCCACGTCCAGCCGGCGAGGGGCTGCGGAGCGAGGGATTCCTGACCGAGGGGCCGGGGAGCGAGGGATTCCTGACCCAGGGGCCGGGGAGCGAGGGATTCCTGACCCAGGGGCTGGGAGCGAGGGATTCCTCAGTGGGAGAAGCGGCAGCAGCAAGACAGAGGCAGGGGAAAATGGGGAGATGGAGGACCCGACCTCAGGGAGGGCGCAGCCACAGGCAAGCGGGGTGGGTGGGCAGCCCGGCAGGGCCAGGCAGCCTCCCCAAGAACTGGAAACAAAGCTCCAGCCGGAGCCTCGCCTCTGGACCAGCCACCAGCTGCGGCCACGCAGCAGGTTAAACCACAGCCAGGTTCAGGCCAAGACCCGCGGCACCCGGGGTGCCCCCGAGCCACCAGCATCACCCCTGGCAGGACGGGAGGCGATGGGACACGCTGCTGTCTGGTAGGGGAAGTTCACAGTATGTGCGAGGGATCAGAGCACCCCAAATCTGCCCTCCTTTTGCTGGAGCCACCCCAGGGCGGGTGAAGCAGCCCCCAGCACAGCAGCGCCAGCACAAGGCCCTCTGGCACTTTCCTGCCTGTCTCCAGTGGCAGGACACAGCCCCCCGAGAGCCCCAGGGCAGGACCTTCCCCAGCACAGTGTCAGGCACCGCCAGGGCCACGCAGCAGAAACCATCTCGGCGGGCCTGCGGCACCCCCTCGGCACGGGCGGAGGACAGGGACCGAGACCTTGCAAACCTTTATTGAGGGTGGTGCCGCTCGCTGCGGTCCGGGGGAGCCACTGGGGCACCGCACCACGGGGCAGCAGCTGCTGCCAGGAGAGGAAACCCCCCGGGGGACGGACAGGGTGCCACCACGTCTGCCCGCTCAGAGCTTGGAGCGCAGAGTCTTGTCCGGGCGCAGGAACCCGGCCAACAGCCAACGGCAGTGATGGGAGCCGCACACGTCAGCAGCAGAGCCGAACACATCCTTGTGACCCAGGGTGTCTCCTTGCTGTCCCCACAGCTGGACGCTGGCAGAAGGGGCCGCAGAGGGCAGCGGTGGCACTGCCCCTGCCTCCTCTGCACGCCCGGCCTCGCGGGGGTCCCTCTTCCGAAAGGTGAGAGCCCACCAGCACCATGATTCCCGCAGGCAAATGGAGAACGCAAGCCTGCCTCTTCCAACCTCAGTCTCATTTCTTTCCTCTCAATCTTGAATCCAATTTAAAAAAAGCCCCACAAACCATATGTAAACATTTAAAAAACCCCAGAAGGAACAAACGACTTTGTTTAGCAGAGGGGAAGAGGATCACCCGGAGGCTGAGCAGCGGGCAGGGCTCAGGGCTCGACTTGCACTCTGGCGGTTACAGCTCCTCCAGCCAGCACGGGCCGAAGCAGAGCTGGGACGGGTCCCTCGCGGCCGGGGCTCTGGTCCCTCTCACGATGAGCCCCGGAGGTCAGTTTTGCTTCCCTTTGGTCAGTAAGTTGTAAACTACAGAAGGCTTGGTCTCTGCGGGACGGAACAGGGGACAGCGCAGCCGGCTGGGCGCTCTGGAGGAGGCGCTGCCTGGTGCTGCAGGCAAAGTCTTTGCCTGCCTACGCCGCCGCAGGGTGGGCGCCTTCTCCTCATCTCTCTCAGCTGGGCCTTCAGTCCGATTTCTTGGCAGGTTTCCTGTTCTTCCACATCACGGCCATTATGAAAATGCCTACCACGAGAGAGAGAGCAGATTCAGCCAGAAAACTTTCAATTACAGGCACTTTTAAAACACATTGTAGTGAGAAACAGAACCACAGCAGAGCGAGTGAGAAATAATTCCGCTGTCCGGAGGCTCAAACAGCCAAAATTACACACAAACACAGGCCCTGAGAGCCCACGCCAGGCAGAGCTGCAGCAGGAGCCACAGAGAGCATGTCGCAAGTCTCGCACGTTAGCTAACCCCTCAGCAACCCTCTTCTCTCTTCCTAATTTAGAAGCTTCTAATTAGAACAACAGAAATAACACTCGCCTATAAATAGCAGCAGCAGCAGGCCGGCCACCACGGGGATGATAACGGCGTACTCCCTAGGCAAGAAGTACCGGTGGATCCCATGGTCGCTGTCGATGAAGGGCTGCAGGAGACAGAGAGGGGCGTCAGAAGGTGGGCACAACACCCGTCCAAGTCCCCGACACCTGCAGCCTTGTGGTTTCGAAAGCAGGACTGAAATATCAGGTGTGAGGAGATAGCAAAAAAAAAAAAAAATAAGGTGCCCAGACCCGCATGTGGCTCAGCCCGCAGCTGCAGGGACGCGACAGCGGGCGGGCAGTGAGGGGCAGCTACACGAGGCCAGCACAGGGGTCCCACAGCCCCGGGGGCTCAGGGTGGGCACGGCTGCCCGCCCGCTTGGTGCTGAACACAGCAAATCCCCGGACTCTGCCCTGCAGAAGGGAGCGGCCGATACCGGCTCTGCTTCATGGCGATCCCGCCAGGATCCCTCTGCGGAGGCCAGCGGAAGGCTCCGGACACTAGAGAGCAGTGTAAGGATTCCTACAGAGCAGTGAGCGCATCCATGCGCTCCTGGGACTACCGACCGTGGAAACATTGGGGAGCAGAGTACGCAGATGCAAGAGGGGAATTCAAACCTCTCAGAGGTTAGAGGGGAAGCTGCCAGGAGTTCGGACATCAGCCCGAGGCTGAACCAGGCCTCCCGTACCTGGAAAGCTCAGGAGGGGACGTTTCTTTCAAGGAAGAAAACCAGTAATGACCCCAGCCGGTTTGTCCCTAGAAGTGGGCAAACTACCAGGCTCACAATCACTTTTCCAGAGCTCTGCATTCCCTGAACTCTTCTCCTCCCTACCAGGCTCCAGATGTGGTAAGAATCGTCTCCTGTTACGTTTCCCTCTGTGATCGCCCACCACAGCCAGGAATCTGGAGGAGTGCAAATGCGAACACCAGTGACAACACGTCCAGAGGAGCCAGATTTCAGCTCTCGCTGACGGTCCGAGTGAGCCTTGGGTCTTACGCCGGCCGGGTCAGCCTGTCCGAGAGCAGCAGGGCAGGCGGCACGATCGAAGCTTGGTCTTGCCCAGGCAAGGGCAGGCACGCCCAGAAGGGGCAAGGGCTGTGCCAGCAGAGGAAGCTCTGCCCTGAAATTTGTAACCAAGAAGCTGGCGAGGCAGAGTCCTTCAGGCACACGGGGACATCAGCACCTAAACAAAGCCCGGGCTAACACCTGCGTGGGAAGCGACTGGGACTGTAAAAGCCAGAGGAGACCCATACCAGTATGATGATCCAGAGGGTGTAGTAGACAAAGAGAACGAGGCTGAAGGCGACCAAGCCGAATCCAACCACCTGGTCTGTCGCTGTGGCCTGCAACGGGAGGGAGAGTCAGCGCGGGGTCCTCGCACCGCGGCAGCCGCGCGGGAACGGTTAACGGGCGCCTGCTGTTTGCTCGGCCCCGGGTTACGTGACCGCACCGCTGCGGGTCTGAGGCGGGGCGGGGAGGGGAGACCCCCCGCCGCAGAAACACCCCCCCCCAGGGCAGCGGGGGGGGCGGCGGGGGCCGCTG